ACCACCTAACTTCATGTCCTCTTTTAGCACATCCATATATCTCCTCTTTGCCCTTCCTCTTGACCTCTTGCCTGGCAGCTACATCTGTCAGGGCCGCTCGGCGGCCGCTGCCTCTCCTCCTTTTTGTCTCTTTGTTTTCTCCGTTTTGTGGGCTCTGCACCTCAGCTGTGTTGCATTCCAGTAATTAGTAACTGGTTGTCAATGCACACAGCTGAGGTGCATCCCGGTGATCACCTTCTTTCCTTATTTAAACCTCGGACAGACGCTCCGCCTGGGCCGGAACATTAGCTAACACTAGCAAACATAGCGAACTATAGCTGACTAATATCAGACATTATCAGACATTATCAGACATAGCTCGATATAGCGCCGCTTTAAGTCAGTACTACGGAATGCTACGCTGACAGTTTGATGCGTTTTGGCTTGACTCCTAGTACACGACATAGACGTTACACGACACTACACTACACTAGAGGACACTATACACACACCCCGAGGTTTTGGGTCGTCTCTGGTTCGTCTCTGTGGCTTGGCTTTTGGACTATGCTTACCCTGTTCGTCTTCCGTGAGTTTGTGTGAGCACCTGTACGTCTTGGTCCCCTTTGGTTTCTCTGCCCCTCCTTTTGTTATCACTGCCCTTCCGTGGTTATAAGTATTACGGACCCTGTTGTTGTTGTTACGTTTGGCTTTGTCTTGCTTTTTTCCCCCATTAAACCTTTGTTTTGTGCTAGCACCTGGGTCAGCTATCTTGTGTCCTACCCCTAGTTCTCCCTCACCCTCCCGGCGAGGGGCGCTAACCCTAACATACTGAGTGTCTGTCTCCCCCATCTGCACTGGAATATGGGACAGCTTGACATTCTGAACCTGCAGTGGATATTTCATCCTGATTACCGGCCAAAGATCTTGTATGACCACGTGAAGTGGGACCGCATCACCGTCTCTGTCTGTATTAGCTAAAACCTCGACTTCCCCTCCAATAGAGTGTTCTCGTTTATCTTCATGGTGCCAAACCAGACACAAATACCATTAGGACGGATTATAACAATAAGCTAAATTCAACCCTTGTACGTCCCATTAATATATTATAACAGCTTGATACCGAATCACATGATGGAGACCATTCTGCCCACAGATGTATTAAGGGGAAACGGTAGATTTTTCAATGTCTGTATTATGAGAATGCCATAACGTTAATACATTCATTTATTCTATTTAGAATGAAAATAAAAATCACACGCAATTACAAACACACCTTTCATTTAGACACGCTTTTATTAGGAGATGGAAATTGCCTCAAGGCGTTTTACAAACGAACACATTAATTAGCACTTTTATTTTATTTCAGAATCTGTGTGTATGTACATGCACATGTGTGTTTATGGATCTGTTTATGTTTGGTTGCTTAAATGTATCTGCCCAATTTGTGCCACAGCTTCATCGGCTCCTGTGGAGTGTTGACCATGTCCATCCAGTGATGTAGCTGAGGGCCTTTGGGGTACATGAAGGGCCCTAACACCAGCACTCCCAGTAGGACTGGAGGCTCTGGGAGAAAGATATATGAATGTCACTGTCAGTGTTTTGTATCTTATTTGCAGCAATATTAGGGCAATATTAGTGTCCTGTCCCCCCTCAAAAGTGAAGTTAACTTTATTTTTTATATAGCGGCAGATCGCAACACAGAAAAAGGCACGATGAAGTCGTACCAAAGTCAGTGGAATTAACCACCAAGCTATGCATTTCAGCCATTTCAGCATTTTCAGAGCAATTCTTCAGCAATCAGCATCCACACACATTTTCTTCAGGAAATGCATTTGTCTAGTTTACCTTTATTGACCATTGTCTTTGGTGTGATCTTGGCTGGGCACCCGCTTCTAGCGAGTGTAGCAAATCATTTCCATTATAGACAATATGTATAACTTTGACTTTCTTTAGTCTTTGAGATGGCTCTAACGCTTCCCACCTATATTTAAAAAAAAAAAATCTCTTGATCATGGTTTTTTTTGTTTGTTTTGTAAGGTTCACATCAGCTGATGTTGCTTGTAAATAGCACACTGAGTGGTATTTATGTCAAGATAGTGTGGCCTGGTTAAATTGAACCAGCGCAGGACACAACAATGTCTTTTGGGTGTTTTATTCTGAATATAAATAATTGGGGTTTTCTCCAAAAAATATAAAATGAACAAAACAATGAATTAAACAACAGCGTCAACCCTGTTCCTCTCTCATTCGGTGCGGGGCATTTACAACTGCGCCCTTGCCTTGAAATACAACAAAAAAATACTCTTCCATTGAAGTAAGGAATACAGAAAATACAGAAATAACTGTGATGGCTCACCTAACAAACAAAGAGCACATACATTAGACATCAGAAATGTAACATTTCTCCAGCTAGCCTAAAACATAATGGATGCAGAGTTAAAATAAAACCTAACTGTACAGAAAATCCGTCTGCAGTAATCGATTCACGACACACTCCGCACGGGTCACACGCTGGGACTAAGATCTTAAACAACTGGTACAGATCTTCTGCTGAAATACCGCTTTGGTCAGATGAACACACATGGCTTTTTAGTTTCCCAGAATCCACTGGATCGATACCCAGTATCCTCTTCGTTCCCAGGGTTACTTCTCTAAAAGCGGTAGCACCCCTTTTTCCATACATAAGTCTAACAGGTGCATTTCCACCTGGCTACAATAGTTCTGAACCACACATCCATTCTCATTTCATTGATTAGATTTCAGGTTTGCTAGCACCTGACTCCAGTTGACATTTAGTGATATCAGAAGCCTGGTGCTACCATGGCTCTTTCCTCCATCACTTTGTATGTTTAATGGGTGTGTTCAATAAAGATGTAAAAGATCATGACTATTTGTTTTATCAGCTTAGAAATAGCTTGTTGATATTTGTGACTGACAATCAGATCATGTTTCATGACCAGTTTATGCAGATAACCCAAACTGTATTTCTTCCATCCAAGGACTGGTAGTTGACAAAACCGCTGCTGTTCTGGGCGGCGTGGTTGCTCCTGCGCCTTTTCAGTCACATTTAAAATATAGTGTATACAATTTTAGTAGCAACTCCTCAACTCTTAGGTTTTCAGAATGTCTACAATCTTCGGCTTCTTTCTATGAATTTGTAGTGTCTTGTACTGGCATTTAGAACAAGGCAGTGATTTTTGTGCTTCTCTAAACAAAATTAGTGCAGAACATTTTATCCAGCTACTGCATTTACACCAGGTAGCCACATCACTGAGGGTTAAATCCATGTTTGTACAAGACTCAAATGTTTTACTCTAAACTGAAGCCTTAAAAAGTCTGAATGTTGACTTGGTGCGGTCTCATGTGAGAATGCACTCGAGCTCCCTGAATGCATCTTACTGGGCTCTGATAAAAAATATCTATTCGCACTGTGTAAAATGCAAATAATTAATCTGGCATGCATGAGAGAGCCTTTGCTCAGACTGTGTGTGTGTGCGTGCATGCACACACAGACATGCCTGCATGAAAGTGAAGGTGTCTTGCTTGTGTTATGTGTGAGTTCAAAGTACAAAAGGGAGTTTTTATTTGGGATATTATGTACTAGGTACTTCCTTCTTTATAAATCACTGCAGCAGTTCCTCATTCTCAGTCCAAATGTCACTAAGGAAGGAAAGGGGAGAGAAAAGCAAATTGATGCAGGTTAGTAGACCAATAAGTATCTCAGGCATAAACTTAACTCAATGTGAGTTAATCAGGAAATGAAAACCTTCTCGGAACTGAACAGTTAATTCAACATTGAATAAACTGCTGGACAAACGGAGTGGAAGAGAGGCAAAGCTGAGCCATACCAAACCAGAAGGAAAGTCAGAGACCAGACAACTGGACGATGCACCCCAGAGTTCTCCACAAGAAGAGGGCGACCATCACAGAGCTGCCTCTCTACTACTCTGGACACCTGCTGAAGAAGAACTCCAAAGAGAAGGTGAGGACAAAGATGGGAAACATAACAGAAAATGCAAGTGGAGTGAAAAACAAACTGTGTAATATTTCACTATGATTACAAGATATTTGCCAAAAGTTTTTGACTATAAAGTAGAAAATTACAGTGATACATGCTGCATACAAAATAACACAAAGTGGTAAAAGTAGTCCTTATGCAGGAAGTAAAAGTGACTTTTTTTTTCTTTCCAGGATTTCAAGAAGTACCATGGAGAGCTTCGTGGAGCCACACTGTTTCTGTACAAAGATGACACTCAGGATACAGTAAGCAAACTCATTTTAAAAGCTACTCTTCACTTAATGCACAATCTGGATACACAACTAATGAAAATGTGATTAAACGATGGAAGTAGCGTGCTTTCCCAGAAAAGTTAAGAATTATGAATAAAGACAACTCTGTTGAATGGCAATAAGGAAATACTGTAGGTTCTATAGGTAAAACCAAAAAAAAAACTTTGATCAGCTGGTTAACAGTCATACACATTGTTTGTTTACACTGGCAGTACACAGAGAGGTTGGACCTGGAGCAGCTGAAGTCCATGGAGATGGAGTCTCCATATCAGAGGAAGGTTCCGACCATCTTCACTCTCACCCTGCAAACAGAGGAGGTGCATCTGAAGGTGTGTTGCTCTGACATGTTCAAAAACTGGAAATCAAAAAGTGTTGAATATCTAAAATAAAAATTGTATAGTATCACATGGCCTCAACATATTGCTGTGAATTCAAATTGGCCCTATCCACAAGTCTCTGGTTGACTTTTCTTTACATTGTAGATTTTTCAACTTTCCATGTTTTAATGTTTTTCTGTTTGTGTGACAGATGGACAATGCTGACACAGGAGAAGAGTGGAGGGGTTACATCCTCACCGTGGTCAAGGTAAGCAAACACCAACTTACAGTCAGACGCACTCTGGTGGATGGGAGTTAAACTCAGTACAGTTGCTGGTAACACTACAGAATACAGCTGAATGCTTGGGAAAAACAAGAGAGCAATAACAAACCCTCAGTGTCTGAGTTCAAGGATAATTATTACACACAGTGGTCTAATGTCTTCCAACATACCTCTCTCTCTGAATCCTTATGAAAATAATTTGCTGTATACAGTACAGCTAAACTTAATGTAGTTTAATACAACAGTCATGTAATAAATCTTCCTTTCATGAAGGTAATATTGTTCAGTCTTTATTCAAAATGTTTTATAGAGGGGTTGAGTCAACATTGTGGAACATATAATCCACAATGTTGAACTGTACTGTATTACACAGAGCTGTTTATGATAGTTAGCTTGGTCTCACTGATAACCTCTGAAGGATTTATTGCAGGATCTTTTGTATTAATTTTAGCTAAGTGTGCTTAATAAACTACAGACTGAGCATACAGAGCCAAGCACAAAAATACCAAGAAAAACATTACCTGGTTAATCATCTGCAGTGATTTAGGTCACAGTGCTTGTAAGGACAAACCCACTTTAAGACTAATGTTAGGTATTTTTAGTCAGATAGATATTGGATAGATACTTTATGTATTAGAAATGTTTAGTGGAGATAGGATGTCTAGTTAGACTGTTAAATGCTTAGGCATGCTTATGAGTTTCTACAGGGTACATCTGGTCAAGGATAACTAGAGAGAAGAGTTGATGACTGTCAGCAGACAGGGTGTTTAATATTATTATTATGACGTGTATAACTGTAGCCTTAGCCATAATATGTTCTTATGTTTAAGTCACGACATGTCACTAGAGGTCTGTGAGAATGTTTTTAGTTACACACCACTTAATCATCAGACACACACACATTGATTTACTTCATGTTTTGACTACTGCTATGGCCAGCTGCAAAGCTGGCACCAGAGACGTCGCGGTTGACGTTTCTGTGTAGTATGGGGCTAGCCCAACCGAGGGGATATAATGTATAGGCCTGGTGGGTTCAGGGTCTTTCATGTTTCATCTGCCTGCGAGCAGTTTGGGGGTGCAAGATGCCTGAGCGTGTAATGTTAATTTTTACCTGTGTTCATGGAATAAATCAGCACTGTTTTGTAGTTACTTGGACTGTCTTGTCTCTCAGAGTCCGCATGGTAAAAAGTACCAGATACAACACTAACAATGATAATGGTAGTGACACATTTGGAAACAAGAGGAAGGATGTATGCACACTTAATTTTATAACAGGAAAAGCTGCAACTCAAATTAATTTGTATAGCACTAATTCACAGCAACAATCATCTCAGGGCACTTTTACATAATAAGGTCTAGACCTCAGTAAATACTGGAGGACAACATGCTAAGAACCCCTTTACCTTCCCTAACTGTCCTATTGAAAATATGTCATGATAAACATACTGTATTAATATAACTATAAGCTTGATCAAGGAACAAAGTCTTAAGTCTAATCTTAAAGGTAGAGAGGGTGTCTGCCTCCCAAACCAAGACTGGGACCTGGTTCCACAGGAGAGGAGCTTGATAGCTAAAGGCTCTGCCTCCCATTCTACTTCTGTGGACTCTGAACCACAAGCAGACCTGCACTCTGAGAACAAAGTGCTCTGTTGGGATGATAAGGCTCTATGAGGTCGTTAAGATACAATGGAGCCTTGTCATTAAGGGCTTTGTATGTTAGGAAAGGGTTTTAAATTCTGTCCTGGGCATTTCAGCTTTTTTTTTCCTCAGTTTTTTTTGTAATATCCTAAATGCTGCACCTGTACCCAAACTGGATGTAATTCGTTTGAGGAAGCTGACCAATATACATTTTACACCAACATACCAAGATGTATTTGTCAACATGTTACACGCCATGTAAAACTGTATCTGTAATAATGTTTTCCTGTAGAAGGAGATGCCCAGTAAGCTGCATCTGTTGCCTGGACAGTTGTTTCAGCTGCAGGAAGTTCTGGCTCAAGAGAGAGGTAGAATTGCCCCTTTACTACCACCCAGACCATCCGTCCCATTCCAAGCCTCACCCTCCTCCTCCCCTCCTGACTGCAGTTCCCTGGACATGCCTGAGTAAGTTAGTCTGTTTCCTCCTTGTTACCGCTCACTCTGACAAACTGAACCACTTCCTGCTCGTTCTGTCCTACCTTCACTGGCAATGAGAAAGTGTTTATTTTTCCTTTTTATTCCTGCAGGTGTTTCTTCAATGTGACTCGGGAGGAGGCTAAGCAGATGTTGAATGCAAATCCAGAGTATGGAAACATCATCCTTCGCCCATCCACCCTGGCCAACAACTACGCCGTGACCCTAAGGCAACTGATGTCCAGGTCTGATCGATCTCATCCTCTGAAATGTATCACTAACTAGAGAATAATGCAGGAGCTTATATTCACGTTACTCTGTTCAGTTCTCACCGAATAGATGTAAATAGGTTTTTTTTTTCCTTTGTCTCACAGACAGCTGCTGCTACCATTCATTCATCATGTGAAAATTAATCTTTGCTGCTATAGGTTTTTATATATATATATATATATATATATATCAGTGCTGCTTTTGTGTGCAACTGTCACATTGGCTTTTCTGAAACATAAACAGGAAATGTTTATAGGAGCTGATCTGAAACTTTTGTCAAATCTGAATCACAGAGCACCTGTGGTTTAAAAAAAAATACAAAAGTAAAAAGGTGATAAGTCTAAAAGACAATTGAATTGCAAAGTAGATGCTAATGAAGGATCATTAGCATATGGGTGCTTTGCATTTCATTATAATTTTTTGGAACATTTTATTTATTCTTTCAAACATGTAACAACAATCAGTATGTAACCACACATAATTCCAGACATATCCACAAATATATTTTCAATTTGCTTATACCTAGTACATGCTTGAACGGAGTAGGAAGAAGTTAGACTTATCTAGTCCTACCCCCTAACATCATCTTATCATCATTGGTTTGCAAGCAGTATTACTACATGGATACATATTCTACATCCACACTCCCATCTGATTAATCATTAAGCCTGTTCTTGCCCATATCTTGATTGACACATACCTTTATATCTG